ATAATACTCATTTTATCGTACAAAGGTCACACAAGTGAATATTTTTCAGCCCAAAATGTTAAACCCTAGAAGGCGACTAGACTAACCTGCATTAATCCAGAATTCGATTACTGTCAATACTGATCAATTTCGAAGTAAATTCACACGTCTGTGCGTATCCTGAAACATGCTCCTATTCTATACGTTTCAAACTGGCTTGCGGGTCATGACAAACCTTAGTCACTAAAACCCATCGGTAAAGTTTACTTCTTTAATATGTGAATGTCTTCTTATGAGTCCGACTGAATCATACAGCTGTATCGTCCTTTAAGGTCTTGTCAATGATGTCAAAGGCCATTAATGTTGAAAGATAGGAGGTGACTGAGGAAAATCAAAGTTTGTAGGAAAATGTCAAAAATGAGCTAACATATGTAATTACCCATATAACAATATTTGTAATTAGTTTTAAATACTTGCTATATAATGCAGTTAATTAATAGATTTGATCTACTGTGTGTCCTTTGTACAATTAATGATAATTTCGAAAGAATTTCTATCGCGTGTGTATGTAAATTATACGATCATCGTTTCTGTAAATGCGATTTAATGCACATAATTTATAGTTAAAATTGAATAAAAATGTTCTATATAAGCATCGTTCATCTATCCGATACCTCGTCTCCATTGACATGTAGCCATTGACCACTACGTTTAAACTGCGAGAGTTTCAAACAAGAGCCTGCTGTGAGTTGAGTAACAACCGGGGCTGTTGCCCTAGGACTGGTCCGTATGAGCAGATCCGATTCAGCACAAAGGCATTGCCCTTTTACCAGCACAGGGATCAGACTAGCTTTCAATATAAACAACAGAAGTCGTAGCAAGATGTACCCAAAGAAAAAAAAAATGAGATCTAAATACTTTGAAAATTTCTTGAAATATAAAAACTATTTTTAATTCGGTCAGTAAAAGATATATGAAGTAAAAAGTTTTTTATAACATATCAGTGGTAGATACAAACCATTGACAAGAAGATAAGACGGTCTGTATATATTTTAAAGGGAAAGTATTATTCGCTTACCTCTAAATAACACCTGTGTGTAGACAACGGAACGTGTCAATCGTCCTGTCCTACTTCTAGATATTTGTCTTGCTTTGACTTGTTTGATAACCTTCATATTGAAATCGGTCAGACAAAGCTTCATGGTTACTATTAGCCTAACAAATATCATCTAGTTAATGTTCTTATTTAATGGACTCTTATAAGATTCATATCTATTGTCATTCAAATTACGCAACATGTAAGCAAGAGATTCCGGATTTATGATTTATTGAATGTTTTTTGAAAATAAAAACAAAAACAAAAAAACAAAACCAAATGGTACGACGCACAATGCTTCCTTATTTATTTCCGGTGCAAAATCGTGATAAGAAATCATCCCTTCGACAGTCTTGAGTTCAAACGCATTTCCTTAAAGTAACCTTGCCCTTCAGTTTGAGTACGAACAAAAACTGATGTACTAAGTGTTAAGTAATGGCGTGTTTAAGTTGTTATAAAAATCATGCTTTGTCATTTTTATATAACTTGATATCAAATCATTTTACAATGTGATAATACGTATAAGACAATTTCTTCCATAGGATAAAAACAAAAACACCTGTTATGAATTTGTTTAGTTTTATTTATTAAACGGGTTTTACGGTCACTATTAAGGCCTTCCAGCCATTCAGCAGACTAGACAACATATTGAATTGAGTAGAAACGAAAACATTGGAAGCGATGGGAGAGAGTGGGATAGAGAGATTAGGAAGAAAGGGCCGTACTTGCTACACTGACATGCTCTTAACCTTGGTCTATTTGTAGCCCAATCGTAACGCTCAGCACTTCGCAGCAACAGGATCGGTTAAGAACAGAGAAGAACTCAAAAGTTCTTAATAAATATCCGTATTTCTAACCTTACCATAACCTCTGGGCCGGCGTTATCACGCCTGCTCTTTTTCGAAAAACCGCAGAGGGACCTTTATCATGTGATTTGGTTATGAGCACATGGGCCACCATTTTAATTCCCATCCGACGGACTTCGGGTTAGTTGTCAATAAGAAGCCGGTGCTTATCTGTGTTCATGTAGTGTCCGTGGAGGTATAAATCTACTTTCCCATTTCTATCTGCCACTATATATACTGATCGCTATATCAATGTCTATACTTTCTGTAAATCCACACTGTTCCTTATTTTATGTAGCTATTAACCTTCCGACATGTAAATAATTACTTTTGTGATTGTGAGGTTAGTATTCGGAGAGGTTGGAGGTGTTGGTATGAGCTTATTAAGTAGATAATGAAAAAGATTAGTTACGAGGTTAACTATTACCCGAATCAGTGTTATGGGGTAATTTTGATTTCGTGCGTTAAGGAGTGGGTAATAAGAAAGGGAAACTACCGAGATAAGTACGAGAGATAGGTATTATCGGAATACAGAAATGAGCGAGGGTCCTACTAATTTTGGAGAGTGTTCTTATGCTTATATTGGTATTATTTTTAGCTTTTTATAGTAGATCATGTTGTGTTTGTTTTAATGTTAGTGTGTGTCTGTGAAATTATAGTTCTTCATTTAAGGTGTTAAATAAGTGCATCTTTAAAGGTAACGAGTCTGTATAATACACACAAAACCATATTGTGTTTGAGAGTGGCGTTACATTTTCGTGTAATTGTTCTGTTTCAGGTACGTCGTATGTATGTATTAGTTTTTTACTTAGGATATTAACACACAAAACTATTTTTGGACTTGAGTACGTGTGTTGACTATATGGTTCCCTGTATAGTGAGAGCCCTGCTGTCATTCAATAGTGTCCCATGTTAAAGGCACAGTGTCCCTTGACTAAAGCCGTATTGGTGGTGTTGTTCAAAGATCTAAGTGGTGGTGCAACTAATGTGTCGAGCTTTGATAATCATAAGAGTAGCCCAACTGCGTCCCTTGCAGTGCCCTAGGTATGAGTCCGAGTCCCCATTCAGTTACTCCTACCCGTGAAATGTATTGTTTGTATATGATGTAGAGTTTAGTTTTACAGATTTGACAGCGAGCATTCCCCTGAAGCACCTGGGGGCACAATTGCCTTCGCCGTGCGTGTAATATTTTTTACATGTGTGTATGGGTGATGGGGCACAGAGGAGGACAACGCAGACCTCATGGGGTGCCAATATGCAGCTGTGAATGGGGAATCGGTTGTAACCCTTCTTAGTACAGTCTTCCTCAGTATCCTGGGTATTGTGGAAAGTATTGCGGAGGGTTTTTATGTTTAGGAGAGGAGCTATACTGTGTCCCTTAGAACATCATATGTGTGGGCTCTAATCTCCAGATTCTGTCATCATCGCCTTTGTAATTTGGTGTTATGTCTGATGTTATATTTCATTGTAGTAACATATTGTTTTCTAATATCTGATGCTTATGTTGTGGACAATGACCTCCTTGTCCAGTGAAGCTAGAATCCTATTGGTGGAAATTACTGTGGTGTTATTTCGATTTAATTCCTTCAGTTCTGCCAAAGCTGTGAGATGTTTGGAACAAAAAAAGAAGACTTAATCGATTGTTATCACGTTATCACAGAACTCACTGTTTGCTGATATATGTTTAAACATAATGTTAATATTTGATTTCAATTTTATTTTGCCCAATCTTAATTTTGTAATAATTTTACTGTTTCATTAAAACCATACAGTTTTGACATTCGCATTGGTTTTCCTATAATTTGCCTCAGATTGTTCGATTTAATCTCATCAAATTTTATCCCATTTATGTTCTACAGTTTTATTAATCACCGAATAGGTTTCCATAAGTCTGATTCGATGTCTGTAACGCTATCATCTAACGAAGTCCCTGCTGCTAAATTATCTGCTATTTTGTTGCTGGGGATATTTACCTAAGATAGAATGTATGCAAACTCTACAGTGATTTTCTAATGGATGTAAAGAGCATAATATTGAAGTAAGTGAGATGGACCTCGAAGTTTCCGGTTTCTATAGGTTGTAAGGCCGAAAGGCTTTTAGATATTATAACAGCTCTGTCTGGCTTTGTTTGATCAATTAGTCTGTAATGCCAAGCCCGTAGCTGTCAACTAATCACTACGATAGGTATCGTTGTTTTGTTTTTTATCTCGAAATCGTATTATCTAACTATAGCTCCATTATTCTCCAACCCTTAGCGCATACCTACATGTCAATCTGATGATAATGATGAACTTTTCTCACCTTTACGCTAAGAGTAACGAAGCGATAATTAGGATCTGAACTATCATCAGATTGATCTACAACAATAAGTCTTTTTTTAGTATTCCAATGTCTCGTTTCGTTAAAATTGGATGTGATTCAATTTATCATCACAACATATAACATTTTTATTGACATTTTAGCATAATATTACCATTTCCATATTTGTATTCATTTCGATATAAAAGTCAGGATATTTCCTTGACATGACAGCTTGTATGTTTCCACCCTGATTTGTTTACTTTCGTAGGAAGGATTTTATTTTCTATGACGTACATTATGACCTAACTATCGAATATTTACATTTGTTTTGCCTTGATGAAGATAGTAAAATACAACCACTTTGTCTCCCTATATAAAAAAAATGAACCGCGTTCATTTGCTAAAACGATGCTGTGGTGCATAATATTTGGATAATTGCTTCACGTGTCACGTGTTCAAACGTAACACAACAGTTTTACATACCAATGAAAATGTCGGTTTAAGAAAAATCACATGATTTGCCAAAACATTGACAAAACCAAAAGCTTTCCTAAGTACATATCTACAATATGGTACCTGATTCTGTGTGAATTGAGGACTGTTTCAAGTATTACATTATCAAATAATGTTCGTGAGTTGTCAGATAGACTACATACCTACACACCATATTAATTCAACTCTCGTTATTATTTGTCAAAACAAACACCAGTCATAAGCGAGCTATCTTCGAGTGCTGAGCCTGGACTAGGCTAGATGACCCTACTGTAAAATGTGCCTACCTTTCAGCTTACATTCTTTAAAATTGCTATCGTGATTACTTTGGCCGGATCGCCAACACGTGTCACTAATCTATAACGTTCCAAAACACAATTAATCTAATGATACATGGACCGTAAAAAATTGCGAATATCCAACGTTTCTTCATTTCTTCTGATGGATATATTCCATCCACCAATTTGGCCTCACTCTTGTTATCAAACTGTAAACATGACGTTCTCCTTAGACTCAGCCAACCAATTGAATGGACATATATTTGAGACAAACAACCACCGTGTTTTTTTCTTGTTTTGTTTTTTTTGTTACCGGTTTACATCGCGTCATCATCAATGAACCTTGGGTTACACTAAGTAACGTGATGACGTAAAATAATCCTAAAAAGAAGGGTATCACATCCGGCGTTCTCGTCATGGTCAGTTTGCAATGCAGTAAAGAAGAGGAAAGATGGTAACCTGCATTTAATGTGAATGGTTATTTGCCTTGGGGAGAAGTGATTTTATGGTATGGGTGAAACTGGTACACATGAATATAATATTAATGCTGCTAATTTGTACTGTGTGTTGGTTATGGACGACAACAGAACGCAGAAATATTTGTATTAAAAGAATTAAAATGGACTTTTTTTACCAAAAACAAGAACATTTATTCACTTTATCTTCATTATAAATTTTCTATACTCTAATGTCTTGCTCAATTCTTACGTAAGAAACCTCAAGACAAGCATATATGTAATTTGAAGTTACTTTTGATTTGAATGTACATGGCAAGTTTCTGTTCTGCCAGAAAGTCCTATAACCAGAATCATATAATTCTTTAAGGATCCACAAGCGATGAAGCCAGAACGTTTTACTAATAGTATACTCTGCACTCCAAAGATGAAACTCTATTGCAAGTTGTTTGGGCAGTTGTCTAGATCTCAGAATATCGGGTAAGACGTCCCATTCCCAGAATTCAATGTCTAACTTAATAACATCTGGAATCTGAAAAATGGCATTAAATTAATAATTACTTTTTTAATTAAATTGAATTAATGTGATTTTTATTTAATTACATATACATGTTTATAATTAATGCAATCTCAATGAAAGGCATAAAATACAAGTCACATCGACTAATTGTCATTTGAACTCAACAAAATTGAAAAAAAAAATAGTCTACTTAAGTCAAAGTATTTCAAATGTATGATATGTCATACATTTGCTTTTTCGTGATAAATAGATCAGTTATTTTACAGAAAAAAATACACATTACAATTTTAATATCATAACAGTGCTGATAGTACAGTCAATAACATTCAGAGAAAACATTACTGTTATGTGTATCATACTGTGGTAATTATACGTACATGTGTAATAAATATATGGAAGAGAATAAATAGTGAATATTCACAACTACTTACATTTTTGTGTCCTAGTTCTGCCATCATATCCTTCAGGTTTAACATCTGCCATGCTTTGCCTCTCCATATTGTACCAGACTTTCTAGCAATACCGATGTCGTGGAAGTACACAAGAGGTTCAGATCTCCTCTTGTAGCTTTTCTGTTCCATACTGTAAAAACAAAAACACATGCATTTCTCGTCTGGCTCAACTCTAATTAATTCAATTTATACATAATTGCGCTATAGACCTGTCAAAACAGCATAGTACGGGACTGTCAACAAAGAGTCAGGGGACAAAACATAGTTTTTTTCTGTTTGTAGAATAATGTATAAAACACATACAACATAATAGGACGGTTCATACAAAGTTGGAATCAGATACAATACAGCCAAATTCAACTGCATCATGCAGTTGTTTCGTACTTTAAGGATACATCAGTGATGCTAAGAGCCTATAGATAGAGACAACGAAGGAAACAAAAAATAGGACTTCTTCTTAAATCACTAATTTAGTCTTGTAAATGAAATGCGACTTACATCGCCAGGTCCACTGATGTTATCTTAAATATCAAGCAAAACTTTACTGAAAATACTCCACCATTTTGTAGTGGCCATTCCTCGTGCTTCAATTCTTATTTCTTTATATGAATAAGACTTCAATATAACGAACAATGTTTTTTCTTTGAAAAAGATTTAATTCGTTTTTTAATTAGGATTCTAAAACTACTAAAACACTGTCGTAAATGCAATCTCATAACAGGTCAATAGGTTCACTCATACAAATGTGATGAAATGTACACTTTATATACAAATTATTTCACAACAATTGCGAAACAACAAATTACTCTTGTTGGCCTACATGTAAGCGCGTCCGTTCCGGGAATCGAATCCCGGTCGGCTAGGTGAAAGGCGAGTGCGTTACCACTGCGCCACCCGACCATCCGTTCCACAATTTGACTGCGTGCAGACGTTTTTCATTTTATCACGTTTTGATCTCTTGTCCCCTGTTTTTGTACAATGTCGGTCTACAGAAAATCCGCTGTTTCTTATAGCAGATATTGCTCATTATTTAAAATACTTTTTAAAGCATTTTCCCCTGGTCAATCGGAAGGCAAGTGTTGACAATTCAAACCTTTTTAGTCTGAATAGGACATTTCCATAAACCCACGTGATTGTTAGTTTTATTGTTTACATTTTCATTCCAAAATATTTAACGGACAACTAGATAATTCAACTATCGTTTTAACTACGCCTGAACAAGAAAATAATCGAATTCCAATGCAGTGACCAGAAAGCAACGTTCTGATTGGTTAAAGCTACTAAAGTGACCAAAAAGCAACGTTCTGATTGGTTAAAGCTACTAAAGTGACCAAAAAGCAACGTTCTCATTGGTTAAAGCTACTAAAGTGACCAGAAAGCAACGTTCTCATTGGTCAAAGCTACTAAAGTGACCAAAAGGCAACGTTCTGATTGGTTAAAGCTACTAAAGTGACCAAAAAGCAACGTTCTCATTGGTTAAAGCTATTAAAGTGACCAGAAAGCAACGTTCTCATTGGTCAAAGCTACTAAAGTGACCAAAAAGCAACGTTCTGATTGGTTAAAGCTACTAAAGTGACCAGAAAGCAACGTTCTGATTTGTTAAAGCTATTAAAGTGACCAGAAAGCAACGTTCTCATTGGTCAAAGCTACTAAAGTGACCAAAAGGCAACGTTCTGATTGGTTAAAGCTACTAAAGTTTTATCATCAAAATCATGAACTCCCCATATATATCATCAGTCTTTTATTGGATCGATAATTCGTCTATTTCACTGGCAAAGTGTTATAAATGTGAATATTCTGATCCAATCCAGTTACTCGAATGAAGTAAAAGTAACAAAAACAACATCGATCAAATGTAATAATTTTCATAAGTTGTTGTTAAAGCTGCATGCTACAACTAGGTTTGACCTTTACTTTGACCACTACACCCACGCCAATAAGTTTCCTCTCATTCCTGTAGTGGAGTATCGCCAAACTAGAAAAATCATTAGTACCAGCAGTCAAATAACTGTAGGCGGATCGGTTTTAGAGGTTTCACTGACTGCGTTCATAGTATTATGAAAGTTTTATATTCGTACATGATAGTTATATATAACAAGAAGAATATTATCATCCCACTCTGCCAAATATGCACTATTACATTTAGAGGGATTCAGTTAATGAAATAAAACAATAACGGTTTAATCAAAATGACGATAAGAGATAACCATTTCGTGTCATAGTTATAAAGTAAAAACAAAATGGACGAAATTGAAGGAAAAAATGAAGCATAAAAGGCTTTAATTCAAGTCAAAGTAGAATGACGGAAATGACTGATTTTGAGCTCTGATAATAAAGTTTAACATAATTCTAAAGAGACTGACCAAAAGCAGAGTGACGTAATATCCGAAGTATGAAAATTGTTGATTCTTAATGCTGTTCAGAAATATACCATAAGTTCAAACACTCCCCGAAAACGTATCGTATAAAGTTGCTGTTCAGGAAACCACGCTTTCATGACAAAGCGTTTGACTGAAAATTGTGGGTGGAGGTATCTGGACAAGTAAATATAAAAGATGGATAGTAACATACCGTAATAAATCACTAAGATGTTTTGGCATAAAAATGTAAAAATCAAACCGTCGTAAAAAGCATAGGTTCATGTTACTGTTATCAAGCCTTCAAATTTAATAGCGATCAATTGATCAACAGAGCGAGAGGATCTCTGGACTTCATTATGGTTTTGAAAAAAGCAAATCCGGGGTCAATTTATATAGATTAATTTGATTTCATGAATTATGTATAACAAGAGTAATCTATCCCATTTTTGTGAGGAAGTGTGTATGTGGATGGGTACGGTGGTAGTGGTGTGTTAGGATGGGAGCGGGTGGTAGTGGTATGTAAGGATGGGTGCGGGTGGTAGCGGTATGTAAGGATGGGTGTGGTGGTAGTGGTATGTAAGGATGGATGTGGTGGTAGTGGTATGTAAGGATGGGTGCGGGTGGAAGAGGTGTGTTAGGGTGGATGGTTGGGGGGTAGTGGTGTGTGTGGAAGGGTGCGGGTGTAGTGGTGTGTTAGGGTGGGTGGTTGGGGGTAGTCTCATCGTGGTAAATAATTCAGGAAGTCGTACGGTTGGTTCCCACGTAAGAATTTATTCCCCCTTTTTAGACCCCCTAGCTCAATCCCTTTGCTTTGACTTTTTTCCTTATACAACTCTTACCTGGGATCAAAGGAATGGACTTCACAATTAAACTCTTCAGCCACTGCATCATCAAATGTGAAGTCATAATTAATTCTGAAAAGGTTGAAATCGCATTTTGAAGTCATAATGGATCTTCAGATTTATAAGAAAAAACTGATATTCAACAAATCTCTTTTTTAGATCATTACCACTCCTGTTTACAATTATAATATCCAGTGCTATCTTAAACCGATCAGTCATCTCATCGTAATATCCATGATGTCTAGTATTGTGAAATAACAGACAACAGATTTAACTTCATTTACAAAAGTATATTGAAAGCTACATGAGTAAAGATATATCTTGATTACATCTGTTTATTTAATTTTGATTATGATCATGACAACATTTAATACAATACAATATTCTACATTCATTTATAGAACAATTTCATATTTATCTTAGATCGTAAAAATTCAGATATGAATACATGGTGACTACACTTCTATAGTATATGAAGATATTAATATGAAAGTTAACTGTTTACGTGATCCTTACCCAAACGAGTATACCCGACATTTACCAGGTATCAGAAATTGTTTATCAGCACACAGATCCCACCCTCCATCATTCCTGTTCCCGAGTCGGATAGGTCTACGGCAGATCACCTGGATTGTGTTTAGGTACCTATCAATTAAAATTCACTCCTTATGAATTAAACAATTGCTGCTCAATGCTTGCTGTATTCCTGTTCTGTATCACATTAATTAATATAAATATCATCTATTTGACGTTGACCAAACATGAAACTATATTTAGAGATGACCATATGCCAAGTTATCTACACAGAATATTATATACATTTACATATATAAAGACATAAAAAGTTGATTAGAAAAGAACAATAGTGTCCGGAAGGGGACGACTTGTACAATTAAAACATAGCTTGTACACAGTAAAGCCTGGCTCGAGTAAGCACAATCTGATAAGTGGAGATAGCTCTTACTACCTGATTCTATAAGACAATAGTGGAAGCAAGAGGACTCACATTTGATAAAGTTTTTCCAAGTCCTCTATCGTCATGGCACACATCTCGGCTTTGCTTGGTAGTAGATAAAAGTCCGTATCAAAGTTGAACACAAACCTTTCTGTCGAATTCTTCACGCATGTATAAATTTCCTTTGGAATATTTTTATCCTACAAACAAAAATAAACATGTTTTTGATTACACGATTTCATAATAAACGTATTATCATGGTATGGCTTTTTGTTCCGGAATTCCATTGAAAATTACGAAAACGATTGCCTTACTACATACGGGTTTACAATGCAGGAGTTTTGACATGTTTATTTGGTCGTGTTGAACGTCATTGATACACGAACACTATGGAGGCCCAGCTGCATGTTGCGGCGACAGTACCATGTTTGGTCATTGATCTTTGATCATACTGTATGAAATCTTCCTGGAAGGCTAATTACTTGTTGTGCCTTGGCATCTACTGATGGTTGTTCATTTATTGTGGAACTGTGCCGGTCGCCAGAAGGAGCTCATATATGAACCGTAGTGTGTATACAGGGTGTGAATAAATTAGGGTTTATAGGTTTAAGGTAGTAGCTTATTCTATATCTTCGGATCGTCATAGTAGTGTATAGATTGGTGTGTAATGTCATTATTGATAATGTGAATCTGTCGTGTGAGACATTTCCTTATGATAGATGTACCATATGTATATTGTGTACAGAAGCAGTTGTAAATGGCAATAAATGTTCATATTGTGAACAGTTGTTCTCTCATGTGTTGCACTCCGTCGTCTCGGTTAGGTTACATACGTAATAGCCAGCGAATGGCCATACCGAGAAGAATACAATATAAATGAAGAAGTGTACGTTCGAAAGGCCAAGTGAGATATTATAAGCTCCAACCTAGTCGCCTTTGAAACACATATAATGCAGTTAAGTTATGTTATAACATTAACCAATGTTATTGTTTTGTTTGTAATAAATCTACACTTGACCTTGTTAGTAAAACATATGATACACCTAGTAGGCGAATATTTCAAATGACATGCTTAGGAACAATATATACATACAAGTTCTTCATTAAGAGTGTTCGTGTCTTTTACCGGAACAGTCGCTGAAGAAGTATGGCGTCGCCAAACCACCAGTAAAATTGCCGTCACTACTATCACAGTAACCATCATCACTTTGAAGCTTGTACGGTTCATTTTTGAGGAACAGCTTTAACAAAAAAAGACATGAAATGCAAAATCAACCAACAAAATATACAGTTAACTTCCAACCATCGCGAAAATATTAATAAATGCACCAAACAAAAAATGTCATTTAATAATTCATGTTGCGTATTGTTGAAATTCATAGCAATAAATGTATTGTATCCTTTTCCAAATAGCTGTCGGCCTGTTCAGATTCTAAATGGCTAGAAAACCTCTTGTCTGTGTTAGATATATCTGAGAACAATTGTTTTTACATATATTCAATCCAAGTGCCTTTTAATCTCCATTGCAAGAGGAAATAACATTAAAATCACCGTCAATTTTCCTGGTGAGGATATTCTTAGGCTTATTGGAACGATTTTATAAGGATCTGTATCTTCATCTCAATACTCAAAATACTCGAGTCAGACATACCCACCTATGCTCGAAATCTCACTAAAAACATCAAGAAAATACTAACATGACAACTTAATGATAATTCAAACTCAAATTTCATAAAACATGAACAACAGAAAGATTTACATGGAGACTCCTGAAAAAGTACTCGGAGAATAAGACCAGGGACCGTATTCATGAAACCGTTCTCATGCTCAAGCATGAATTTTGTGCTTAAGCTTATGTCTTGTTTAAGTTAAAAATTAATAAATAAGGCTGATTTTGCCAAAGATCAAAAACAAATTTTGAAAGTACTGCAAGTCAAAGTTATATTCAATGTTTATATTTGACATTTGTATTATTTTATATGATTTAGGCGAATTATAAAAAAGTTTGCTTGAACACAAAATCTATGCTTGAGCATGAGATTGGTTTCATGAATACAAGCCCAGGTGTTCCGGAAGAGTAAGGTCATCTGCTTCATAGACAATACCCGCCGTGTAAATCTTGGTCAAGGTATACAACCACGGAACCAACAAGCGAACTAACGAGCATCAAATTCATCCAGATTCATGTAACACAAAGAAATGGTATATCTTTCCATGAGATCACTATGACGACCATAAAACTTCCCCATAATGTTCATCCTCTTGCATCTTTTGAACCCTTGTGTTACGAGCTTCTTACGATGTTTTGGTTCGACAATCGTGATATTGAGAATAGGCCATTGAATATCGACATAAGAATATCAAAGGTTGGCGAAAGAATGATTATACACTTGTATTCTTATGTGATAAGACGTCAGGAACCTGTGACATTCCACTTATCATGTAAACATATCTAATGCACACATACCGTTTTTTCGTGGCGTTTTTTTCTGAACTTTGTGTTGTCAGTTTTTATCAAGGAGCGTAGCGAGCGCTTTATGGTATTGTGTGTAATAATTCAAAACCAACATGCTTCAGTAACCCATACGATCAACATTTAACCGAAGTGTGGCTTAATGAGAACTGTCGACCTTTTTCAATGTATTGAAAACATTTTGACAAACACAATGTCTTGTCAAGCCTTCATGTTGAAATCAAATCATACTAATAGTCTTAGATAATTGAAACAAGTTTAATAAACTTAAACATAAGTACCAACAACACGTTAAAAGTTAACAATTTTAACCATGTACTAACGACATTTGTTTGAATTTTATCATGATGAATATTTTGAATATTTAGAAATTTTCTAGAAAACTCGTATATGGCACAATTTTAGGATAACTATCGATGGTGAGGAAGTTTTAGTTCGTGTGTTTGTTTAGTATTTTTCCAGAAAAATGCAGTTTATATAACACAGACAGATATTTTCTTAATTACAATATGTAAAAGGATTATCTCAGCAGTGTTTACAGAATTATGATATCAGGAAATATGGACTTTACCCGATCTGTTCTACCGTGGCAAGTCAACATTGCTTTATTAAATCAAAGTACTGAAAGTACTGGTATGCTAAGACCATTAAAAAATAAATTCTTTGTTATTAGCTTGCTATATACTGAAACCAACTATATGCAATCAGTAAATCATTGCAGCCCATAAAAAATGACCAGCAGATATCAGAAATAACAAGCATAGTAGTATTACTTATGTAATACATGTCCCAAGTAGGCTCCAAGATGCAATGATAGGGAAGTTGTCCATTTCTTTGGATACATTGTAGGGAATGTTGATCATGGACACCATATTATCACTTTAAAGACTGTGTATCCTATTGGTTTAAGACCATTAGTTAGACCATCATGCAAATAACATGCTACATACAAATATTGGACAGCTTCATTTTCCAGATTGTTTGTAAATGACTGCATAAGAGTGCCAATTTTCTAAAACAAACATGACTTGTCACCATAACTTAAAACAGAAGATGCCTATTCTTCCAGAAAACCTGGTCTTATTCTCCTTGTACTTTTTCTGGGAATCTTCAAGTAGATATTGACTTTGTTCCAATTTTTCATGTTTATATATTCTTTGTTCTCTAAAACTTGTCACAAGATATTTTATTCCTCTTGTATTATCATTTTTTTAACATCCTTACAGTGACCTTGAACCTTGAAATTTACAAGATGTGAATATCTTTTAGGTTGTGAAATTTGATAGAAAAACGAGGGTAATACAATGGAAAAACACCCCCATGCAACTATCCGTTTTTTGACTGTGACCTTGATCTTTGATATCTGACCCTGAATTTCTAAAGAAACCGACTTCTCCTCACAAGGGATACATGTTCCAAATTTGATAAAGGTATACTAACTGTCTTGGTCTCAATGCGTTTACAAGGTAATCATATAGTACTTATGCAAGTACTGTGACCTCTACATTAAATCCTCAAAATCATTACTATATCCTCTCCACATTTCCCAGGGATAACTGAAACTGTAATCCAAATGATAACTAATACCCCCATCACCCACAGCCTTAGTTATCTCCCCATGGTGACCTTTTGCAAAAAAACATCCTCTGAAACACAGCGGCATGTGCACATGTTCCCTAATATTCCTGCGAAGTTTTGTTGAAATTGGTCCACAGGTTTAGAAATTGACCGACATGCAAAACCTGTCTATATTGACCAGATGCCATGGCAATCAATATTTCCAGGGGAAAATGGTGCATGCACATCTACACATTGTCCCAGATATTACTGTAGTTTCATTGGAGTTGTCTAGACAAGATGTGTCTACAGACAGACAAACAGATGGATGGACAGATAGACAACTTGATTCGATTTACCCACCCTTTTGGTGGTATAAGAATGCACAAGAGTGCTTACAAATTCCATGTGGACAGACATCATGGAAAAATAATAATGATAATAATAAAAATAAAAACATGATAAAGATGCTTATATCTTGTTTTCTTTATTCAGTATACTTTCCATGCTTTGATCAGCAATGTAATCGTGTCATGTCAATATCCTAGTATAAGATTGCATACACAAAATTGTTGTAGGTAGACTTTTAAGATAAATAAAAAAAAATACATGTCTAAGTTTAAATGAAGGTTTTAAACAGAAGTTGTATTATGTTCAGTATACAGTGATTTTTCTAGACAATTGTAAACTATAAACTCGGTATACAGCGATCTTTTCTACACATTTGTAAACAACAAACTCAGTATGCGGTGATCTTTTCTACAAAGAGTTTTTTTATATATTGTATATACATAACTCAGAAAAAAAAATAAGTAAACCTTTCTATGTACACTACAAACTCAGTATACAGTGAGCCTTTCTACATAAACTTGGTATAACTAGTGAATCTTTCTACTTAAGTAAATTGAAGATTGTAAAGAAATTTACTACAAATGCAGCATACAATGATCTTTTCCACATTTTTTTAGTTTCTGCCATTTGTTGATTCTTCTCTTGTGATGGTAAATATATTGCCGCCTTTAGAGAGTACTGTGACCTTAAAAGGCAACATGGTTGTTAGCATATCCTCAAGTGATTAACCATCTTCAACATCTAATTGGAGGTCGGAAAGAAGGACGTTTTTCTCCACCATAAGGTCCTCAAATCCATTGTTGGTCACAATGGCCAATTCCAAGTTAGAATAATCAAGAGATACCTTCTACCATTCCAGATTTCATTTCTTCAGGGACATCCACCTGCTGAAAGAGAGTAAAGCAAATAAATAACTATATTTCTTTATTGCTATGATTATGTGCAAGAAATATACACTTCTGTATAAGCTTATAGTCTTGAACTTCCCAATAGGAGTCTATATTAAATATAATTAATTGTTTTGACATTCAGGACTGTCAAATTATGAAGTGATGGACAGCTAGAAAATAAGAATATCTTGACCATGGTCATACAGAGATTGAATCATAAAGTTAAATTCATGAGATAAATCTGTGCAGTATGATAATTTATTTTGACGTTTGTATTTCAAAAATCATTATGACTTGAAAGGTAATGTGTAATTTAATTAATTACATTGGACCGTCATGCAATGGCAATGCCATTTTCATAATGTAATTGTAATTTCATTAATTACATCATCATGTAATTGAACCCATGCCTGTTACAAACAGTAGCTGTCCTAACTGATCCTAAAATTAAATTTGGCTATGTCTATCACAAAATTAATGTTGGCTGTCTATTACAAATGCCATATTTAGCTACAGTAGAGGTATTTCAAAAATGTATGTCATTGTAACTGAAAGGACACAATTAATGGTTACTTAACCAGAACTACAGTTCTGAACAAACCACTACAAAGCCTGGTTAACTGTACTAAGAAAATGTCTTCTCAATTAATCAATTTCATTGATTATTGACATCTTATTGTTGTACTTACAGTCACTTGAGTTTCTTAAAAGTTGCAATTTGACTTTTAATTAGGCCCAAAATGATAATACTGCAATGTCTAATTAGCTCTCGAGGGGTATTGGTTAGACTATTTATCTCATTTCATTCCATTCACCATGAAAACAAAACTCTAAAAAACAGTCGACAATTAATGACAAATATTGAGCCTAGGGCTGGGTAAAATTGATGAATCAAAAGTGTTGAACTGAAAGTGGATGCAGTTGACATAATACTGAAATTTCTGAGATGAACAAATACAGTACATATATCAAAAAGTTCAATTGTACCAATAATACTTTACACATTCACACTGGGACTTTACACATTCACACTGGAACTTTACACATTCACACTGGGACCTAACACTTTGCTAGGTTTATCCTAATCTTTATTAAAATACTTTCCGGGAATCAGATGTTAATTGACATCTTCATTATTCCTAATCTTCATATTGTAATCGTTCACATGCATCACTCTTCAACAGAATCAACGAGACATCATGTCAGAAAGACAAAAACTAAAATTAAGCTAAAACTATATATATTAACTTCACATGTAAACCTTAAAATTAGCATAGCTGTAGAGTTCCCGTACGATTTCATACTCTGGCCTTTGGCCGTTGGGGTACTTATAAATTATCTCCGATCAGAAATTTGAAAGAGCTAGACCTACAATAGCGCGGACAGTGACAGATATTTTAAAGTAAAATCGATATATTACCCAGACAGATTCCTAGATCTATTCACGGTAGCGTAAGTAGTACAGTACAATATTACGGATAAGTTTTTTTTCTGGTTAATTTCCGATCTGTTGGGCCACTGACAGAAGTGACTGCGATGAGACCATTATGAAACGATCATTCCAAAATAAATCCATTTCAAAATACTGAAATACTTTACGGAAGCAACAAAAATGTGCTAGATGCTTACATAACATTTTTCAAATGCATACTGCTTCAAGGGAAAAGTCTTGAAAATATTTTGAAAAAAAAGTGCAGCCTAAATTCAATAGACGCGAAGGCTCATTCCAAATGAATTTTTGCAAAAAATGCAATTGATAGTTCAGTATAAGTATCGACTTCAAATTCAGCTAACATATATATATATAGTGATACTTACCTACATGAATTACCCGCCATCTTCTTTCAGCCACCGTCTTCTTTCAGGGTCCAGCAGCACAGAGCACCCCGGCTGTTTCCGTCAAAATTTTATGCTACTCTAAATCATTCTTATTTTAGTTTCATTTTTATTTTCAACTACATATATAAGTATTTTTAATAGTTATCAACAATATTAAACGGGAAGTAAATTTTCGAAAAAAGAAAAAAAGAAAGATATACAAATGTATATGACTCCCACAATGCATCGCGCGGAAAAGAAAGTTAAGCCGCCATATTGGCATCGCCTCGCAAAATTTACCATCATAAACGTGAGTCTTTGTCATTGTATTTACAAATTTCGATGTCTGATTATCATTAATACACAACACAAAACATTTTCTTGATGTACAGGTAATGAAGAAAATGTCGATAAAGTTGTTTCATTTAATGACTAGCATCAGCAACTTGTAGGGGCGATAATCCAATGATTACGGTAATGTCCGGCAGATGGAGTAGGAGTAAACTTTCGATTTATGAACCAATGAAAACGAAGTACTGATACTCAGCCTCAGGGGCGATAGCAACATGCTGAAGAGCATTGAAAATGCTCTTAGCATAAAAATGATAAAACAGAAATTACAACAGCTGATAACACAGGCCTACTACAGAGACGATTGCCAATTACATTGAAGTATACAAAACCTAGTAACATAAATTCTCAATTTGTATTGAACATATTTACTTACACCGAAGAGTGCAAGCCAGCGATTACAAAAGAAGGAGTACCAGGACCTTGGCATTTTGGTAATTTCTGTACTGCGCAGTTTCTTTTGAGGGTCTGAAAAATAAGTTAAAAGGATTTTTTTTAATTGCTTATTTTCCTGAGAAGAAATATTCTATTATTTTTTATAAAAAGAATAATATATTGGAAAAAATCATCATAGACCTAAGAGACATATCTTATGTGTTTATGTCATATTTTTTTTTATAAACAAATTTCACTAACTTGAAATGACATCAGTCACTAGGTATAAAATCAATGGAAAATATTATGTGAAAAGTTGATTCTGCTTTCAATGTACATTGTAGGAAAAATCAACTACTTAACTCAAATCTATTACATCATTTGAACATAGTTTCATCACATTTTACTTATAATACCTGTAGCTCCAGAGCCAGCCAATTTCTCAGGTAAAAGCGAAGAAGTATCACTGTGTTCAGAAAATGTATCATGTGACTTAGATTTTTTTGTGGCATCAAAATCGGCTTCTGGTGTGGTGGCGGTACTTCCACTTCCTATGCTTCCCTGACGCACTAGATGGTGCTGCCCCCTTTGAGTCATTCTCTCTGGAAATAATTTATCCAAATCACTCGCGAATTTTTCGAATGAGTCTTTTGGGCGTTGACCATCTGAAAGTGTTCCAGTGGCACCATAACTCCCAGTTATGGTGCCATTTATTACATCTCCCTGTGATGCAGTACCCCGCAGTTTTTTTGAATTTGTTGGCATTATATTTAGATTTCTTTCCCGTTCTTGTCTTTTTTCATATGTCATGGCTAATGCAAAATAAGAATAGTTTATGGCTGCATAAGTCATCATGAATGCTGTGGTCACAATAGGAGCTAAAGTATTCACATCTCCAACACAAATAAACAATAGCACAACAAGTGTCACAAGTATGAGGGAATATATCGGAACTTTATTGGGTCCTCTCTGAAAAAAAAAAGAAAACATTAAAAAACAAATAAAACAGTATTCATATATAAACTTTACAAACACAGCAAAAATACAAATTTAGAAACAAAAGAAATTTAAAATAAGCTTGTAGTTTATATTACAAACAAGTATTCAGTTTTCAGTTTGTAAATCAATTATGCAATGATTAACTAGAGTACCGACATGGCCGAAAGGGCCCACAATGTGTCTGATTCTAAACCTAAGCTTATATAATAACCACAAGTTTATATATGTATTGATAAAGAAATACTCATTATATACCCCCGAAAACAAAACATAATTACGGTAAATTACAAAGATTTTTTTCTGGCAACTTTAAAATACATTAAATGATATCAACATTGTGTAAAGTAAATAGTGACTGTGTCATGTGAAGCAATTTGGGCTCTACTTATTACTTCAGAACTGTTTGATCATTAACTTCTGTGTGTTAATGGGGGGGTATTTATGCCGAGTTAATGAGTACTCTTAATCCACAAACTGATATGTACATAAAATGATTATAAATCTAGGATACGTATAAACAATAGATCATTTCTTTAATACTATTCATCCACAAAATCAAGTGTCGATGAAAATATATTGTTATAGAAAACTATCAAATTTGAGCCAAATTACATATTTCACTGTAAACAAAAAACAACAAGAAAACACCAACATGCCAAAACAATCCAAACTCAAACCCAATAAAACCAGGGTAAAGTATGAACAAAAGAAAGTAAGACCCTGTTCATGCTTCCATCCGAACAAACAAGAGTGATTTATAATCTGACATCTTGTTTTTGTATTTTTGTATCTCACATAACTTGAAAGCAGAGGCAGTGATAAATTAACCCCAAGTTGTTTTAGATAAGTAGATCTACTGTTCACTCAGTATAGCATTAAGTTTGTACTAAATACTTACACCTTGGCCGAGCAGTCTTATGATAAGTAGATCTACTGTTCACTCAGTATAGCATTAAGTTTGTACTAAATACTTACACCTTGGCCGAGCAGTCTTATGATTGGAATGACATTTTCATTGGCAATGGACTGGAGGATTCTGGGAGGTCCGTACAAGCTGCCCATACAGGACGACACAGAGGAAATATAAAGGCCGATCAACCACACATACCCCACAAATGCCACCTACACATAATAGAGATATCAAATATATAACAACTCACAACAAAAACAATTACATAATTGAAATCTCCCTGAATAAGAGTTAAACGAAGGGAGATAATGTGCATCATAATAAAAGGAAAGAACCTTCATACCTTTTTGTCCTTTCACTTTTATCCACAACTACTTCATGGCATTTCATTTTGTTGAGTAATTTAGGCTTCAAGTTGCTAGAACAACAAGGTCCCAATGAACTTGTATAAGGCTTCATGTTGCTAGAACCACAAGGTCCCAATACATTTGTATCATATTATATACGATACCTTTAACTTTCATAACTTTAACCTCACAGCTATGACCTGCTTTGGAGATTAAGGTCAAATTTCTTTAAAGATAAAAAATCTTCAGCTACATATATCATTTGCTAAATACCTAAGAAAATTATTGGCTCTAACTGTTGCTATCCTATGGTGCCATGATATCCATTCATTTTTTGATGTTGAATAAATTGGTACATCGCAATTTAAGTGTTTGTGAAAATCATTTAAGATCATTTATATCTGTATAATAAGTAGCATTCTGTTTCTAAAGTCTAAATTTAATTCAGTGCATACTAAGAATCCTTTTATAAGTATGATCAGAAAGGCTTTGCAGTTGCTGTATGTATAAGAGACCTTAACAGAATTTAAGAGCTGTCAACCTCTTTTGCAAGCAATCTTACTTTTTTCGTAACATCGGAATGTCAGGATAAGTGATTTGAACGGGAGAGTGAAGGAGTGGTATACATTTAACATATGTTGAAAAAGTATCAGATATTTTCAAATTTAACTCTAGTATTCCAGATTTGATATTTGAGAAGAGATAGTTTACTTGATAACATTGTAATGTTCTTCATTGAGAGAATGATAATAAGAAGGGAGATAACTCATTCATTTTCTTAGCAATCAGATGTTACAACTATAATAAGATTACTTGCTCAGTTCGTTAAAACAAGAAAGTTAACAGTGAAAAAGGGAAGACCACTCACCTCCTTAGCTATCATGTAGTCATTAAGTAGATAGGACCTTGCACAAGTAGCTCCTAGGACCAGTGTGAAGGATATGTATAGGATTGTCCTGAAATATCAGAAATGTAGGATCAGTAACAAAAAACATTTCTTGGTATAACTTTTTTCAATATTTTCTAGTCAACTGGATTAAGACAGTCTGTGAAAACCTGAAAATAAATATCATTGTTTGACAAATTTCTATATAGAGGATCAATGATGTTGCCTTGGAAACATTATTCAGTCCACCAGGATATTCTCAACACTGGTTTTATATCAGATTTAAAGAAAATCTCCTGACAACTGAAATAAAGTTACAGATATCTCATACATGACACAGATTCGGCACACACAAACACAGTAGGACAAGGACACATAGAAATGGCTGAAACACAACATAATCCACCACAAAAATAAGATGCACGAAACTTTTGACAATATATAACTCATACATAACACATGTGATACATAACTAATACACATGAATGAAAATAGCACAAATTCTCAACAAAATAATTTCTCTTTATCTAATAAAAGGGGATATTTTCACTCACGCGACACCAAGCGAGGCCAAGGTGCCATTAGGAATGTTGTGGAATGGATCTCGGAGGTCCCCACTCATGTTGATTCCTGCCAGGATACCAGTCACCGTGGAGAAGAAAAGTCCAAGAATGCTAAAGAAATTTTCACCCTCCAAATAGTCTGGTCCCGAGTTGTTACGCAGGTTGAACTCAGAATATCCAGTCACACCATGTTCTAAAAGAAACAGAACAAATTCAAAATATGTTCCTCACCAATAAGAAATTTGTACTTATAATACATCTTACCTTTCAATTTGTCCTTTTAGGGCAAGAATCTCTCTCTTTTCATCCACAAATTGATGAAATTAGAGTCTGCATCATTTTGAAACTTTGCATTGATGGTGGTGTTTGGTTTTTGCATTGCCAAAGGTATGTGAATAACTTTACACCACACTTTTAAAAAACAGATCATTGCTATCAGTACTACAGTAAATCACGCATTATCAACTGTAAGTTAAAATATTTTGCCATTATTTGTACGAAAGCAACTCTTAATGGCATCCATGCTGATATGTCATTGATATCAGAGTCCATATTTATAAAAGCCCATCATACGCTACTTAAAGTCTTTTTTTTAAGATCACCATTTGCAAAATCATGTACATGTATTTTGCAAATATATCTTAAGAGGTAAGTTTGTGATATAAACATTCACGAAATCTAAGCGATTCACAGTGCATGTACTGGGCCTATTTTTCATTTTCGAGACACATTTCCAACAACCGCCAAATTTCATATCTGGAAATTTAACATGACATTCTTGGGTATCTAGATATATTTCAATAGACATGAATACAATGAAAGCCTAATTTATCAAATAATTGTTGAATTAATTAATGTATTACTTATCTATAATCATATCACATGATAATTATGGTTTGTTTTAAACAAACTTTGAACTTTTGTTTTTGACAATGAACTTGAATTTTCCCCTAGTAAATCTTTCATGTAATTCCTGACAATGTAGCTATCTTGATGATATCTTACCAATATCTGTATGTAGAAAGGACCCCACTATCATGTCCATGGCGGATAAGAAAAGAGCCATCAGGAGCACGAGTTGGAGTCTAATTACCCACTTCACTCCCGCCACGTTTATACCTGTAATCAAAGTCATATGATTAACACTTAACACTTCTACTTCTTAACGAACATGCATAATAAACTGTCTTCTCTAATCAGAATCTACCTTAATTTATAGAAAACTTCTTTTCTTGTCCCCTCTACTCCCCCTCCCCATCAACATCACTCCCATTCTTTGATCTTTCTTACCATCGCAAGGTCAACCAATATCATTAAAAAATCTGAAAGTGTAGAGCCTTGAATTTTGGTACAGCATATTTGAAGGATGCAGATATGCATATCAAAAGCAGCCTTTTTCTAGCACAGATGACTCCACACCATTCCAAGGAAATCATCATATCAATACTCTAGAATCAGAGAGTGTTTAAGCATTTTTGTCTCTTACACAACAAACTTTATTCATTTTACAGCAATACTACCCTTGAATACTTACCCAGTAAGAGAAGGACTAGTCCCACTGCCACTCCCTTAGCTATCCATGGGTTTTCAACATGAGCTAGACCCATGATTGATTCACCAAATCCCATCACTGATAGAGAACAGCTCACAGACTGTCAAAGGACATGTTACTTGTCATGAAACTATTTCTGAGTCACAATATTTTGTTCCGTGTAAACTAAAAAATTCAGAGCTTAAAACTTATAAAATATATATACACAGATACATAGATTTATTTTGACAAGGTACAGAAAATATGTACAGGATTAACAATCCTTTGATAGTCAGCTCTTTATACAATTTATACTAAAATAAAGATATATACACTGTGTATACATAAGCTAAACCCATATGGCAAACACCTGAAATCTGACACTACATTTGAGAGTGGGCTTATTGCAGGACAGTGATATAGCAATCATTGCTAATGCCAAAATGTATATTCACATCTAAGAATCAAACAAAACCAGTCATCATTTTAGAATTTCTTTAATTCCTGTCATCAGACAGACTCACCTGTGCAAAGCAGTAGATGACACCGATACTGCCCCCGATTCTTGCTCCGAGGACGTGGGACAGAAGGAAGTAAACACCCCCAGACTCCATCTTACATCGCTCACATACCCCAATGGCTGATAGAGCCACAATCAGGACTATCACCACCGCAACTATGATTGTCAGGATTGTCAGCCCTATTCCAGAATTCCCCTGAGAAGAGAGTTCAATTCAGGACTTATCACAGATTCAAGATCAGGAAAATTATCAATGATATCTCATAAATGCTGTCCTGTACCACATAACTGATGATAAGGCAGGTTTCAATTTATGCAAAATATAAGATTATCTCCCCTGCTTTTAATTCTCCATCTTTATACTTTCTTGAATCAATCAAAATTTTTTAAACTGTTTTCAGTTTGATAAATGTACATTAAACAAATCACACTATATTCTTAAGATGTTATAACTTGCACATTACTCTTAGACAGTTCTGAGGTCAGATGTGTTAATTGCTCAATTCAACATTTCAAAATCTAACACAAAAAGTCAGCACTTCTTAGTTTCCATGGCTGTCAAACATTATTTTGCAGAATGGAGCATGTTTCATTGAAAATATCAATAACTGGTTTTAGGGACTTTGAAGGGGATTTAGAGAAGCAAACCAAATGTGATTTGACATACCACAATCCATCCCATACGTAGGAAGATGATGACTCCGAGAATGTTAATCATACAGGACGTGAACACTCCATCCCATGTCCCGAACAGTACTGGCTCCGAAATAAAAAAATTTGCCTTGTACCATGGCTTCTGTGGTGAGAGACTCTGAAATACATCAAAATTCAGATAAATTAAAACCAGATTTTTTAATTTGATTATTACTCTATTGATCAATTTTGTAACTAAATGTAAATTCAAACTGCAGACAACAATCACATTGAGACTTGAGGGGTAATATTTTCAACGGAAATGAAGTAGGCTGGAGCTCACATTGATGATAACCCCCATGCCCTGGTCCTTATATTTTCAATTAAATCTGTTCACACTTACCTTGCATACACAAGTTTCTTTATCAAAACTGGTCAAGTGTGACTTTCGGACTATTGTATGATTTAATGTTTATGTTAGAAGAAAAAAACCAATCTGGATTATTGTATTTATTAGATTTTGAAAAGGCGTTTGATTCAATAGAATGGTGTTTCATAGATAAAGCATTGGGGTCCTTCAATTTTGGTGAGTCAATACGATCTTGGATTAAACTTTTTTATAAGAACTCAAAAAGTAGTGTTATTAACAATGGTCATTTATCTCCCTTTTTTAATTTAGAACGTGGATGTCGTCAAGGGGATCCACTTTCTCCATATTTGTTTATAATAGGTTTAGAACTTTTGTCTCTATCATTGAAATCGAATAATGGCATCAAAGGAATAGTTATGTCTGGAAATGAGTTTTTACTTTGACAATATGCAGACGACGCTATTTTTGTTACTTGATGGCACAAGTCACACTCTTTACTCAGCAGTATGTACCTTAGAGAATTTTGCAGTTGTATCTGGACTAAAAATAAATTTAAATAAATCCAGTCTGTATTGGTTAGGAAATAAAAAGTACTCACAGGAAAGAATATGTGAAAATTTGAATCTTAAATGGTCTACAGCTAATTTTAGATTATTTGTTATTGTATTTTCACTAGATCTGCAAAAAATGGAAAGACTGAATTTCGAACCAAAATTACAACAAGTCAATAAACTTTTAAGATATTGGACCCACAGAGACCTCACCCTGATTAGACGAATTTCAATACTAAAAACACTTGTAATACCAATGTTTGTTCACTTATTTATAAGTCTCCCAAACCCATCACAATCTTTCATAAAAAAACTCAATAAAATTTTATTTAATTTTATATGGAACTTTAAGTGTGAAAGAATTAAAAGAGACACACTCATTGCTGGTATTGGGGAAGGGGGCCTTAATATGACACACATAACATCTTTCATGAAATACCTCAAGGTTAAATGGATAAAGAAAATTTATGGGGATCAATTTGTTCCTTGGAGAGTACCGTTAAAGGACATAATACCTATTAGTGTAGAACTATTTTTCGAACTAGACAAAGTAAAGTTCAAAGAAATAGCAAATCACACCAAAAACCATTTTTGGAAGGATGTATGTAAAGCTCTGTCAGAATTACAAAGAGACCCAACAACATTAGAAGAATATCTTGGTTAAAGTATCATTAACTTGGTGTCCTTTTGTCAGATGAAACACGGTTTTCAATGGAAACAATATGGACTTAATGTGATTGGTGATTTATTCCAAAACGGTGTAGTCAAGAGTTATAATGATTTTATAAATGTTCCTTGTCTTGATTACATCAAATATTTTTCAATAGTTAACAAAGTTGATAGAAAATGGAGAATGGAATACAGGCAAAAAGTAATTGAGGGAAATACTATAACATCTGAGAAACAGGAAGACATAGTGTCAATCATCTTAACAAAAAAACAGTTGAAATTTATTTATAGAGAATTTGTTAAAAAAATTACGGTCAAACCACTATCAAATCAGGAGAAATGGTCGACAAAAATAAACCTGCCAATTGATAAGCATGTCGGAAGATACAACTGGGAGGGTGCTTACAAGAATCCATTTAATTGTACAGTTGAAACTAAACTTCAGACCTTTCAATACAAAATTTCTCACAGAATATTACCTACCAATTATATTTTAGAAAAAATGAATTTAGTTGAAGATAGCTTATGTACTTTTTGTAAGAGGGAGGAAGAAACAATTGAACATATCTTCACACAATGTTATTATACAGTAAAACTAATAGAAGAGTTCAACTTTTGGTATGCAGAGCATGACCATAAATATGATTCCATTTACTTTAATGACAGTGATATATTATTTGGTAACCCATCTTTTGACTCACTAGTTAACCACTGTTTTCTTTTAATAAAATATTACATATATTGTTGCCGTATGAATGAGAGTATTCCTAAATTTTGCATTTGTAAGACTATTTTAAAGAGAACAATGAGATTGGAAAAGTATATTGCAGTCAGAAATAGGAATATAGTAGATTTTCAAAACAAATGGGGAATGTTTGAACAAATACTGAATAATGAAAGTGCTAATTAAATTTATAAATGCAATAAGATTTCCAGATATTGAATATTGAAGTCCCTTTCGAGTTATTTTTATTTGAAAAATATGTGTCACTTAATTGCTGAATGCCTATGGGGGCCAGTCCGAATGACCTCAATTATTCTTTTTTCCTGATGTTTAAGTGTAAGATGCACAGGCAATTATTATAAAGGAACAAAATGGTTGTAGTGTTAGAGATATGTACAAATTGTGTGCACTGTCCATCAATATGTTATTTTGTGTTCTGTGTATGCACAAATATGTACATATATATACTGTATGTATGTATGGGTGTGTGAGTGTGATGGTGTGTGCGTGAGGGTGTATATAGATACATCGTGGGAATGGGTATTTAAGTTTTTGTATGTCAGTAATTGAATTTTAACAATTATATAAATAAATCTTGCTAAAAATAATTATGTTATAAGGAATGAAAGTGATGAATGTAGAATGAAAGCCCTCCTGTGTGATGGCAATATTTTGTAAAGGAGGTTGAACCCAGTGCTCCTCAACTCTGGCAGCCCCTAATAATGATTGCTGAGCTGAGGGATTAAAATTTTAAAAAAAAAAAAAAAAAAAGTGTGACTTTCGACCTTTAACCTTGACACACAGTCTTAACTATTTGCCACTACTCCTACTCACTAAGTGTTGGGTAGAGTGTATCATGGTTACTATTGCTGACATATTCAACAATCAGTTTCACCTTTAGACTTCTTCCAGGCAACATTACACTGAAAACATCCCTGAAGTACACTTCTGAATTTTTCCACAACAATTAAGCCATGATGGTGCAACTTATATGATAAAACTAGAAAATGTCTGTAAGACATGAATGCCCCCGCCCCCCCCCCCATGTGAAATAATAGTGAAAGGTCCGAATGAAGTTGTTAGGTGGTATATACTGATTTGGGACGCGACGCGACGGGACGGGATGGGACGCGGCGCGATGCGATGCGACAGGACGGGCGGACATGGGCAACGCTATATGGCCCCGGCCATAAATGGCGGGGGCATAATAAATTAAAATCTTAAGTGTACTTAGTCTCAGTGACTACTGCACAGATGAATTAATATTTGAATCAACATCTTTTCGCTCCTGCTAAAGGGCCTTCAGGAAATTTTATATCAATAATCTTGATTATAAACAATGTAGTTTGTAAATTTGGCTATGTTTTATGTATGTAATGTAACTTGTGTAATATTTCATTTCTCGATAAAGGGGTTATTGTCGTGAGTATTTGACAATTTACTTGTCCATATTGTCACTATAACTTCTATGTATGTATGTTGATGTACATACTGGTGTAATTGTTACACTGGAGACATTTCACCCTGTGACAGTGTTACACTACCAAACCGTGCGAGGTGAGGATTGTGATAATGTTACACTGCCCAACAGTGCAAAGTCAGGTGATCGTGAAAAGGAAAGACATCCAATCAATAATAACAATAAATAAAGCCTTATCAATCACCATGGTAACCATATCAATATCGGGTCAATGTAAGGCCATATAGTAATCAATTTTGTCCATGTATGTTCCATGTTTATGGATACTGATTAATTTAACAGGTCAATAATAATCTTGGTTCCAATTTTTTGTTGCTTTTTTATTTTGTTAAAAGAGGAGATGTGTTCTCCCCTAATGTGATGGCGGTAACTAGTATCAAAAGAGCACACATATATATGGAGGTATTAACTATACTTTTCAAGGTTATCAAAGAAGGACACATAGTGACCCGTACCACCTTGGGGCGTAGACACTGACTGTGTTGAATACCATACTATCCTGCAGTAAGTCCAAAAGTTGCAACACCTAGCTTCTGACACAAAGTCAGGGGTGGGCTTATTGCTAGACAATGACCTTGAGTTTCTAGTTAAATTAATCGCAATAAAGGCTTATTGCTGATTATATACAGTGAGCTTTCAAATTGATGTCTGTCAAAATGAGCTGAGCTCAAAAATGAAACCTTAATCTATCTGTACAGCTTCTAACTAAAGTCTACACTTTTCACAGTTATTGAAAGGGGCATTTCTACCTCACTTTGGGAAGAACATTAGCTAATTGTGAAGGAAGTTTTAAGGAGTGAATTGCAGATTTTGGAAATTAAATATGGACATGATTTTGATTTGAGGATCGGACTCATTATAGACCTGAAAAAAAAACCATCCTGAGCACCTGCAAGTTTTTAGCAGCTCAAACCAAAATTGTTACTGAATCAGATACGAAGGATGCCAGGGTCACCTGCCAGGTGTGTTTGCACCTGATTAAGTGTTCCAGTTTTCTCTGTCATTAAAATGCCTTGTATTTTCATCAGAACAGGAGTAAGATTAAAAGATTCCTACAATCTTGTGTATCAACAACTATGATGTCCCTGCAATTAACCTGCATCTTTTTCCATTCAATTTCAGGCTGATAGTGTAGTGCTAATATACGACTTCTATAACTAGCTTATATAGTAATTATTGTGAATGAAAAATTATTATTGTGCTAATACTTGTCAAAAATTGATAATGTATTAAAAAATATTGTGCCAAAATCTGTATACAGCTATTTGGAAACTCTTTTTATCTTCTCTGTTTCATAAGTGTCTCAAAATAAATCCACTCATAAAATATAGGAAAATGGATTATAAATATAACAAGTCAGGAGAGAGTCTGTGTCTGGGATAAAAAGACAACATAATTATGTATATGATGCACTGGTGTAGACTTGTACAAACGTGTGGGGAATTAGACAGTACGGCAACAGGAGGCCATTGATTTTATATAATTTATATACAGACCTGATTCACAACAGTCTGAAAACAGCTGCTTCTATAAACTAACACACAAACATGCAAAGTCATAGTCATCATCAAGTTCTAAACCATGTGCATCAGGTTACCTTTTTTTTTACTTTGCTGACTTTCCTTACACTTTTGAGATATTTTTGGGCTTTTTTTTAAGAGAAGACATCCCAAAAGTAAAATCATTATATTTTCCCAATCTAAGAATCACAATCCAAACAAAATTGCAGTTAAACCGACAACCATAAAATTGCACAGTTTGTCTAGGTTTTGATGGCTGAGGATATGTCTATTCAGCAATGTACAAGATAAAATAGCTGAAATAAACCTATAGATTATGAATGATTTTTCCTAATTTGAGATTTTGTCATACAATTCCCCTCTAATTTCAATACCCTTGACAGTCTTCTAAAAGAAGCACAAAAAGCCCTAGTTTAATCTGAAGTACAGTTTAACTAATGGTCTTGTCATGCACCCATGAACTTTTGAATTTTTCAAACTATATGTCAGTTGACTATATCTCAGACCATATCTACCAACCAATAGGCCTTATCTAAGGCATTCAGTTGACCTTTGATCTTAATGGCAATTTTGAGTCAAATCATCAATCTCAAGGGTCAAAATAGTTATGAAATAGACATGTTCTTCACACACATGAGCTGAAACTCATTTTTCGAGTCAAATATATACCGACTCATTACATGTTAACATGTATCATCAATATTCAGATTATCATATTCTATCTATCTGTAACAATCATCACATTTTTGCTCACCAGACTTACCCCTGAAACTTTCTACTTGTATGTATACAACTTAAAGATTTTTATCAGTTACCTTGACCTTGCTTATATTGCCTTGACCTTCAATACAAACCTAAAATATTCTGTGTTCACATTCGCAGGACAATGCCATATGATATAACCTAACCAAAGACATGTCAGTTATCTTGGAACAATAAATGATACCCAGCACTTCACCATTACATCATTATCATAGGCATGGAAACTGTGACAACTAAACCCAAGAGATTTAAAATCATTTTAGTTTTAATCGAGTGATTGTTAGCGTAAGACAGCAACATATGTTAGGCACTGTGAATAATATGAGGACTGATTGATAAGTTGTAAGTCTTGTCCTGAAGAAGTTAAGCAGGGATGTCCTTTTCAGCACCAATATTACCTGACTATTTAAGGCCATGAACCTGAAGACTGGCGTCATTTGGTCAGTTTATGTTGAAAGGTAGCACTCTAAAGGCAAACAAGGCAAGTGACTTTTGCAAAATGGACAAAATCGCTGAAAGAGCAGTGATTCAATATTTGCATGAGAAAGGCCTAGCCCCTAAGGATATCCATACTGATATGGTAACAACACTAGGGAATGGTGCCCCTACATATGCTATAGGGAAAAGACAGAGCCTTGGGTTCCTGGAAGTCCTGTCCCTGATGCAACCCTAGATATCAGGGCTACCTCTGGGTCAAAATTCAGTTTCGCCAAACCAAATTTTTTTTTCTATAAGCGTGCGAACAGATTCCGGAACTCACCCTCACCCGACGAGCCCTTAATTTCCTCATATAATAAAAACACATATGCTAATTATATAATTACATTATTTATTCACTGTTTTAACAACAATACATCAAACATAACACAGTATATGGTAAAAGAGTTTATAAACATGGAATTATTACAGGCCTTCTGCATCTCGACAGTTTGCTGTTGTGTTGCCAAAGCAGCAGAGTGAGAGTTCTCATCTGTAAAATTGAAAATAAAATTTAGAATAGAATTGGACATTTGCAGAGAGATACAGGATTATATTGAACCTTATTTTACACCATCAAAGTATTATACTTATTACAGTAACTTCCTAAGTAATATATCTCTTAAAAACACTTCAGAGATAATAAAGACATAATCGTTAAACTAAAAGATTGTGTTTCTAATTCATGTGCCAAGCAGGCTGTAATGAGTAACTACATTGTACCATCCTCCAGGCTGTATAGTATTTCTGAATTACTTAATCTAAATTTACATAATTTTCTGTTCATAAATGATGAATAGTTGTATATACTGATCCTTTCTCATGCTTAACCAAGCACTTCTTCTTCACGATACTGCAGCCATCAGTGAAACTATTTCTAACTAATGCCTTAATACATATGTCACAAAACATGAGCTTTTGCTCTGGGTCATATTTTAGCCATGGCCTGCCAATTTTCCAACTATCTAGAAACTTTCTTGAACTACTGCCCCTGTTAGTAACCTGATCAGGACTATCATTTTCCTTTTCAATAGATGGTGTCTTAAAACCAAATGGTGACAATCTGGGTACTTTCCCATCCCTATCACTAAAGGGGAGTTTACGTTTTCCCATTTCATCTAACGATCTATCTCAGTGAAGGGCCAAATCTGATGTGACCAAAATATGTACAAAAATATAAAACAAAATCGGCAACATAGTGTAAAAACAACGAAATTATATCTTGTGTTTCTTGCTATTTTGATTGTCGATCAAAAAGCCCATTTCGGGCCCTTTCAAATACACTAGTTTACTAAGTTATGTCTGCAGAAATCACAAACTCGTGCCCAATTAACGACATCGACACACCTAATGATCCACCTACCGTAAGCCAATTCCCGATAAAACAACATCTTTCCTTCAGCCAACTTACCTTATTGTTCACGGCAGAGGCTATCTCGGATTGAGACAATGGAGACATCATTGGATAATTGGCGATTTTCTTTTCAGGCGTGTTGCTGTTTAGACAGGTAAACGTTTCTGTCAAAACACAAAAGAGTTCCGATAGCTGACCTTGCCCCAGCTGCGTGAGTCAGTCAACCGTGAACGTGTAGTACACCACGATGTCGGAGCAAAATTTACCGTGTCACTCGTTACAAATAAGTTAAACGCCAGTGACATCGGTGACTGGAAATGTCTGTAATCGGCATTTTCGCCAATAGAAATTTGAAATCGCCAATCTCATTTCACTTTCGCCAATGGCGCCATTGGCGATCGCCAGCGCGAGCCCTGGATATGGTCAATAAATCCACAATATCATAATGACTGACTGGCGAGTTACAGAGAGTCAGTACAACTGAATATTTAGTGTTGTTTTACATCCTATCAAAAGCCAGGGTCATTTTAGGGATGTATCAGATTTGGGTGGTAGAGGAAATCTAGAGTTCCTGGAAAAAGACCGTCAACCTGAAGTCAATGCCTAGTGACTGTCCAACATAGGCCTCAAATCTATGACCAAGAGGTGGAGGGCTAGAGATAGAGATCTTGAGTGCTTGACCACTCAGCAACTGCAGCCCCTTATATCTGATATATATTTAAATTACCTGATCTTCCCTAAACAGCTCATTCTGTTTTCCATCATCCACTTGTTGGTACCCATCCTCAACATCTGCATGCGCATACCTCTTCACCTCTCCTGCCTCCTGTTGGTCTGCGCTCAGTCCAAAACGACTCCAGTCTGGCGACTTCTTCCTCTTCTGTCTAGATCCTTCACCAGCCGACGCCATCAGTGCAGCATTCTCATCAGATGACCCAGACATGATGGATAATTATGGCAGAAAGAAGCAACGCAACTCAGAAAGTTTGGGGTGTCCTTACAGTCCATGTTTTTGTGACATCTTAACTTTCTCCTACTAAAACATAAGTAAAAAAAATTAGAAGAAACATAGAATGACAAAGCTTTCATCCTGTAATTTAGTTAATTAATTTTTCTGGCAAATTCTATTATTTCAATAGAATCCATTTTCTCCTAAAATGAAAGAAAAGATTATTTTGAAGCTTGAATTATTACTTATCAATGTATTGAACAAATATGTAAACTTAAAGTACTGGAAGCTTCTGGTCAGAACACTTCATTCATTCTTTCAAATTAATAAACGTCTGTTCATCCTTCCCTTTCTCTTTTTATTTCTGCTCTCTCTCTCTCTCTCTTCCGCTCTCTCCATGTGAATCTCTCTTCCTCTCTCTCCCTCTCTCTCCATGTGATTCTCTCCCTCTCTTTCTCCATGTGACTCTCTCTCTTTCTCTCTTTCGATCTCCATGTTACTCTCTTTTGCTCTGTCTCTCCCTCCGTGTGACTCTCTCTCTCCTTCTCTCTCTCTCCATGTGATGCTCTCTCTCCGTCCCTCTCTCCCTCACTCTCCCTCTCTCCCTCTTTCTCCATGTCAATCTCTCTTCCTCTCTCTCCCTCTCTATCCATGTGATTCTCTCCCTCTCTTTCTCCATGTGACTCTCTCTCTTTCTCGCTCTCTCTTTTTCCATGTGACTATCTCTCTCTCTCTCTTTCTCTCCTTCCTTCCTTCTCTCTCTCTCTCTCTCCCTCTCTCTCTCCATGTGATGCTCTCTTCCTCTCTCTCTCCCTCTCTATCCATGTGATTCTCTCCCTCTCTTTCTCCATGTCACTCTCTTTCTCCATGTGACTATCTATCTCTCTCTTTCTATCCTCCCTTCCTCTCTCTCTCTCCCTCTCTCTCTCTCTTTCTCTGTATGTCAAATGACTACAATATGAATACAAACATGTGACTATCTCTCTCTCTTTCTCTCTCTCTCCTTCCTTCCCTTCTCTCTCTTTCTCTCTCCCTCTCTCGCTCCATGTGATGCTCTCTCCCTCCCTCTCTCCCTCCCTCTCTCTCCATGTGAATCTCACTTCCTCTCTCTCCCTCTGTATCCATGTGATGCTCTCTTCCTCTCTCTCTCCCTCTCTATCCATGTGATTCTCTCCCTCTCTTTCTCCATGTCACTCTCTCTCTTTCTCGCTCTCTTTCTCCATGTGACTATCTATCTCTCTCTTTCTATCCTCCCTTCCTCTCTCTCTCTCTCTCCCTCTCTCTCTCTCTTTCTCTGTATGTCAAATGACTACAATATGAATACAAACATGTGACTATCTCTCTCTCTTTCTCTCCTTCCTTCCCTTCTCTCTCTCTTTCTCCCTCTCTCACTCCATGTGATGCTCTCTCCCTCCCTCTCTCCCTCCCTCTCTCTCCATGTGAATCTCTCTTCCTCTCTCTCCCTTTCTATCCATGCGACTCTCTCTCTTTCTCTCTCTCTTTCTCCATGTGACTATCTATCTCTCTCTTTCTATCCTCCCTTCCCCCCTCTCTCTCTCCCTCTTTCTCTGTATGTCAAATGACTACAATATGAATACAAACATGTGACTATCTATCTCTCTCTTTCTATCCTCCCTTCCTCTCTCTCTCTCTCCCTCTTTCTCTGTATGTCAAATGACTACAATATGAATACAAACATGTGACTATCTCTCTCTCTTTCTATCCTCCCTTCCTCTCTCTCTCTCTCCCTCTTTCTCTGTATGTCAAATGACTACAATATGAATACAAACATAAAAAGATGCTGCACATGAACAAACTTCCGTTAAAGACTGAACAAACTGATTACAATACAGGAGTAATGATAGTCAGTTTGATCCAGTTTGATTTTTTTTCATTCAGTTTTATAATCCTACCGTTGACATAATTTCAAGGGGCATGACGATAGAAAAATCTTACCAGATGTATGCAGAATCTGATTTTACCACATTGAAATATGTAAATTATACCTTAATACATTTCTGTTTAACGGTCTGTGAACTTAATAAAGTACAAACAATAACATTCATTGCAAAGTGGTCGAGTAGACTTTGACCTTTTAACCTTGACTGACCAACAAGATTATGGCTTAAATCTTAAAATTGTAACATGTGCAAGGTCAAGACAAGGTCAGCTAACATCTGAAAAAAGCTCTGGCATTCTTGGACATTTTTTCCTTTAATATTAGGACTTACCTCCAAGTCTCCACACTAGAAGGAATTTTCGATCATCCTAGATATGAAGCATTGACCTTGAGAGTACTTGTGATCACAATAAGTTTGATCAAACCCTTTGGTGGTTTGTATTAGGGGAATTTTTAACTACCCATTCCACTATTAAACATATATCTACATTAAAAAACAGCCTATATCATTCTATCTAAACAGGTCAACTAGGAAGATATCATGAAAAGGTAATGGGTCATTTGTCCACCACTTTTAAGTGTCCTCTATCAGTAAATCAATACCAGTAGCCTCGTCTCCCTCAAGTACCCCAACAACATGCCTCCACAATAAACATATGCTTCCATCCTGGTCATTAAGCATGAATCATTATCAAAGCTGATAAAAACTAATTTTAATCTGGTTGTAAAAGAATGACAGTTTACATATCGAATCGAAGTTCAAAACCAAACAAGTAATGTGATTTGACAACACTATATTTTGTAGTGTCATATATGTCAACTGCTGCAACATAGCATGAATTAAGTCATAAGAAATCAAGGTATTCCTGGCACGTTCCAGTAATATCCTGCACCTGAGCTACTGCTGAATCACAAAAGTTCCCCCTTTATCAACAAAATATTAAAGTACATGTATATTGTTAGTGCAAAATTCGAGATAAAGTCAGAACTTTGTATTTTTTGCTTCAATTATAATTGTTGGGGTCAAAAAGAGTACAAAATTATAAGCAAACAGAATATATTTTACCTTTGACAAACAGTATTCCTTCATGGATGGTTACTTCTAACTGAATAAACAGGCAGATATATAAAATACAGAATCATCAACCGCCTTAATATAATACTACAAAATGTTAAGTTTTCTACAGTCTTCTAAAAAATGTCAGGTATTCATTTTTTTCAAATTTTTACTTGTATGAGAGTGATTGTATCTGGACATACGGAAAACAAACTGACCAACAACATCCATGTTGGACATCCAAATCAAGTTGTAGTTTTTGAAAAATAGTCAGGTGTTAAATGTCTTTAGTCTGAATTATGTTGTTTTTGACTAAATGACTGACAGACTGACGTTCTGTGGTGGATTAAAGTAATTTCAAAAGCTTCACTGTTCCGAGACTGCGGGCTCATAAAAGGGATGAGTATGCAGTGTAATGGAGAAACAAGTCTGACTTAACTGCATTTTTCCTTTGCCATTTACAGAAATGAAAGCATCATAATAGTAGAAGTTATGAGAGTACAGATTGCTGTACCAACCTGGTCTAACAACAATTTCCCGTAGGTCCAGCTAGAGATTGAAGGGTCACTATCAAGATCAAACAATGGTCAGGGAATGCTGCTTTTCATTGTGTTTCATTGTTTCTTCCTGTTATGAATCTAGTGCTATTGACCATTCCAAGGGTAAGTGCTTAATCACTTTTGGGATTGAGATGCTGCCACAGAGATACAGAACCTGGGTTGTTCTTGTCTTCAGGGTCTAAGAGTTTATGAGGAGCAAGTAGGGTAGAAGTTGAGAGTACAGGTAATTTTGAGTTTCGGATCATCAGAATTCCCCTTCAGTGAAGAGGTAGAATGTCCTGCTAGAGATCAAAGGTTACAACCTCTGTGGGGGCAGGGTGTTTTTCAATACTCCTTCCTATTACAATACAGTGAACTGTATTTACTCAATGGCAATAGTCACTGTAAACCTAGTCCAGGTGTCCTTGATATTTCATAATTTATTTTGTACAATTTGTTTGTAGTTGTTATCAAGCAATCTTAAACACCAAATAAATTACAAACACAAGGCAGATCATGGACAATGACATGTTGAGATTGATTCATATACTAACAACATGCATATAGAAAAATGGACCAGACTTTCATATACAAGGTGTTTGGGCCTGGTGAGTAGCTAGTGAAAATACACCCCATCATTCCGTTACAATGAATACAAGTCCTAAGACCAAATGGAATGTTTATTGTAAGTAATTTTCAACCCTGACATAAAGCTGAAAAGACAGTGTTAAGTTGGGGATTACAAGTCTTTTATAAGTCTCTTAGACTTTTAGTATAAAATTTATTAACATAATGATACCTGTTTTCAGTCCTTAAAATGTTTAAATAAAGCATACTTCTAAAAATATTTATTCACTGATGTAGGAAATCTGCATTTCTTTGCCTTTAATCCAGTTTATGATCCTGTGGATATTGTGTGTTTCTTATCTCTCTTCAAAGATTAAAATTTCCCCAACTACATTTACACAGGGATCAGTCCACAGGTAAAAATTGTATATTAACCAAACCATTAGACAATATGAAAGTAAAATATGTCTTTTTCAATATTGTTCTCTACATTATGTACAACACAAAAATAAGTTCCTATCATACATTATTCAATCTGAAAATCCTATTGAGAATATATAATGGTTTCCCCTTAATGTCACATACAAAAATGTACTTATCATGAGAACAACAGAATATCCCTGTAACCCTGGTAAAATACTAGCCGCAACATACCACTCGGCTAGAGAGAACTTCTCTTTAGCTTGATTGGTTGAGCGTCAGACTAGTAAGCCAGGGGTCCCGGGTTCGATTCCTAGCAGAGGCATTAAGATGAAAAATGACCTGTTACATTGGCGCCCATGTAGGGACCCGGAATTAGTACTTAGCCATGCCCAACCAGCATCGCTGTGACCCCTGGAAACTCGAGGACGAGTTATTTCCTGGAGGGGGAGTATGTAACCCTGGTAAAATACTAGCCGCAACATACCACTCGGCTAGAGAGAACTTCTTTTTTGCTCGATTAGTTGAGCGTCAGACTAGTAAGCCAGGGGCCCCGGGTTCGATTCCTAGCAGAGGCATTGAGATGAAAAATGACCTCTGTTAC